AAGGGAAAGGGGCTGGGAGGAGGAAGGAGATGAGGATGGGGATGAGGATGGCTCTTGGCAGGCACACCATGGAATGAAAGGAGGAGCTGGGAATGGAAACGTGATGGAAGGAGGAATAAGAGAAGGAAAAAGCAGGGATGGAGCAGAGCTTGGGAAGGCCCCAGGGCTGCCTCCAACCATCCCTCAAACCAGGCTCCACGAAGCCCCACAGTCTGGGGTGACATTCTCCTGTCCCAGCCACCCTGCCCCGATCCCAGCATGGACAGGGTGGCTCCGGCGCTGCCCTCAGTCCCCATCCCCCAGTGCCGGGAAGGGTCAGGCGAGGAGAGCGATGGCAAAACCACACTCATCCCCAAATTAGCATGAAGCCCTGTGGTCACTGGCGTGGCCCTGGCTGTCCCAGCACTGCTCCGGGCACGTCTCCAGCCCAGCCCTACACCTTCCCTTCTCCAGCGGGGAGGACCGCAGAGAAGGAGCTGAACCAAGGGGTCTCTGCAATCACAGCCCCTCACCACAACCCCACCTCTGGGCAGTCCAGGACCCCCATTAACCAACCTACCCCCGCCAGCCCATGCCCCACAGCGGGCAACCGCCTCCCCTGGGGCAGGGTGAGGGCCAGCAGCCAAATTGAACAAAAGCAAAACAAACATTGAACAAAATAGGCCTTTCCTCTTGGTATTTTTTTAAACCTGAGGTGAACCCAGTGAATTGAACCCGGTTGTCTGGAAGCAGGAACCTGCAGCAGCTCTGCCTTGTCCTCCCGGTGGCCACAACATCAGACATTCCCCAGCCATGTGTCACTTGGCTGCACACAGGGTCACCCCCTGGCCACTCCTTGGGTACCTGATGAGGCTCCACCAAGCCCCACTGACCCCCTCATTGCCCCCACGGCTCCCTCCATCCCTCACCCTCTCTCTGTCTTGCTTAACCTTAGTCCTTCAGACTCCTCAGGGCAAATGCTGATTCTTTGTTTATGTTTCATACATCATCTGTACTTAATAAACAGCAATTACTTATGGAACCTTGATAAATAAATTATTCTCCTATGTGTATACATATTGAGCCAATAAACCCTGAAAGGCGATTTTCCAGATGGTCGGGATGAATCTCCACGTATCAAGGTAAGGGTGACAAGACTCTCCAGGTTTGTCTGCAAAGGTTTAAGCACCCCCGAGCCACCCCGTGAGGGTTAAAGCCCTCCCCAAACCTCAACTTCCCCAACAACCACACCACAAACTTGGAGCAATAAATTGGATCGCTCCAGACATATCCAGAATGGGAGATCCCAGGATCACTCAGCACCTTTGGATGGATCCAAATGGATGAGGAGACAAGGTGGACCAGGCTGAAAAGACACGGGCAGCAGCACCATGGGACACAGGAGTTTAACTGGGGGGGACACCGGACCCTTTACCACATCCTCCAGAGCCTCCTCCACCCTGTCACCACCTTCCTCTCGTCCCCATCCTTTTTTGGCTTGTTTTGCTGCATGGCCAAGAAGGCTGGCGCCAAATCTTAAAGCCTGATTTTGGAGACCAGCCCATTCCCAATTGAACCAAATACCTGGCCGAGGAGGAGCATCGAGAGCACGGGCAGGAAAGGGAAGAAACACCCTGACTCAGCGCTGCCTCTCCCACAGGGCAGGGAAGAGAACGAGGGAGAGAAACATGCAGCCAGGCTTCTTCATCCCTCCCTTCTCCAGCCTTGAAACGACCGTGGGGAAGATGGGATGGGGGGGACACACAGGTTTCTGCATGGAAAAATGCCCCATGGTACCAAAGAGCAGCATCATTTCAGCTCAGGCCGTTGGGCATCGCCGGGGAGCAATATCCCAGCCAGACTGAAACACAGGTGTCCTGGGTCGAGCAACATGGGACTAATTTCCCCTCTAATGCTGGGGAAAACTGCACTTTTAGAAGGCTACAGTGTCTGAATTGGGGAAAATACTTACTTTCTCACCAGCTCTGGGGTGCGGGATTCAAGGACTCAGGGTTTTCGAGGTGTGGGGATGAGGGGGACCGAGACCCAGGAACTTGCCCCAAATCCAACAGGGTTATTTCATACCATAAAAGGCACATTCCATAGAAATTAGGAAGTTTGCTGAGGAGTTCTCTCCCTCTCTCTCTTGGTGGCTGCCACCCTGAGAACTCCTTGCCCCGGTGCCAGAGCCCCGAGCCCTTCCCTTCCCCCCGAAGCCCCAGCGCTTGCAGGGTCCCACATTGGCTGTCCCTGCTGGGGGGGACCAGCCTCCTCATCATGGAATGGGCTAGGGAAAATCCTAATCCTTGTATATTTTATATTAGTATCAGGGTTAATCCTTTTTTTTTTGGTATTATTATTATTTAGTCTTTTCCTATTAAATCTATTTATATTTCAACCCGTGGGTTTCCTTGCTTTCCCCAATTCCCCTTTCCAGGTGGGGAGAGGTCATGGGGTAATGAAATAACCTGTAATCATTTATTGTCATTTAGACAGTTTTCTCAAGCCATAACAGTGGGTCCCCCCAGGACCCAGCCCCATGAGCAGCAGCATCTCCCCTCGAAGGGGGTGAGCCTGGACCCCCACCTCACCCCTCTGTCAAGAAGGTGGGACCAGAGGAGCTTCAGCCTTGGCAGCCAGAAAGAAGAGGTGAGAAAGCAGCAGGTTCATCCCCTCCCTGCAGGATCTCCCCACACCTCCCCACATCCCCTGCCAGCAGAGGTGACCGCTCGCAAACGCTTTCCTTAGAGGGTTATGGCAAATTATACCCATCCCTCTGGAAGGAGGCAGGACTTTGAAAAGCTTCTCTCAGCTTGGAGCAGAGCAGCCCCGATGCTCCCACTGGAAAAGAACCTTCCACCCTGTCTTTCCCAGGCATTAAAAGCAGTTTTAATCCTCAACCATAGTCCTTCTGCGGCAGAAGGATTCGGTTCCCCCTTCACAGAGAAGGTGTGGGATGTAGTACATGATACGATACACAAGCCAGCACTCAAAAGGCCCCAATCAACATATTACAATTAGACCTGATCACCAGGAGAGGATTTTTTTATGCCATTGCGCATGGGGAGACACCATTCCAGCCAAAGGGACATCCTCCCGGGCTGGATCCAGCATCAGAAATTTGATTTCAAAGAAAAAAAAAAAAAAAAAAAAAAAAAAAAAAAAAAATTTTAAGGTAACCAGGTCCCATTATGCCATATCTGGAGGTAGTTTTCATGCTTTTAAAAAAAAAAAAAAAAAGAAAAAAAAAAAAAAAAGAGGTGAATGAATTGATCCTTAGAGGAGAAAGGAGCAGGGATTGATGCTCCCGCAGATGCGGTTGCCACGCGATGCCCAGCAGAGCTTTCTCTGCAGCGCCGATTCCCGGGATCTTGCAAAACGTCATGGTGCAATATCCCCGTGCTCCCGGCCGCTATTAAACCCAACCAGCCTCATTTCCCCTCTGGCTCCTTCCTTCGGAGGGATCGTTCCCCAGGAGCCGTCACAACTGCCCTCAGTACCCGCTGGAGCAAAAAACCTGCCAGGTGACCTCGTGCCCTGATGCTAATCAAGCCCCGTGATGCACCTCCAACCGCGAAGCCACAACCGAGCAGCCCACGATGAGACAGATAATCTCACCTCGCCTCGCAAGAGCCACCAGCTTTCTCATCCCCCAGCCATAAATTTGGGGTTTTAAGCCTTAAAATGAAGCGGGTGAGGATTCAACCAAAAAGACCCCACAAGGATCTGCTGAGCGAGGGACTTTGTATTCAAAATGGACCACCAGGGGAAGTGTTTTCCCTGGAAAGGGTGTTTTGGTAGGATGGGCTTGACGTGAAAGGACACCGTTCTTGGCAAAATATCAAAAGAAAAGGTCAACCCTACTGGAAGGGGTCATCTTTCCCTAAACCAGACACTACTACGTCATCAGACGTGTTTCTTGGGGAAGCTGGGACAAATCCCAGCTTTCCTTCACTTCACTGGGCAGGGAAATTCCCAGCTCGTTTTCCAACACAGGACAGAACCAGAGGTAAAACAGCAGCTTTCCCCCCCAAAAATGGAAATTCTTTGGCCAGAGAAGACCATCCTCTTTCCCAAGAACAGACAGAGAGAGGCAGAAATGGGTGCTCCTGATCTTTCACGTGAGAAACAGAGTTAAAGCAGGAAAATGCTTTCAAGAAAGCCATGTCCACCACTGGTTTAGACCCAGGTCCAAACAGGTATTTAAGGGCGTGCCACCTTACAGCCTGCAATTCATTAAAAGACGGTTCTTTTTGGTGTCTCCAGCTTTTAAAAGGGTTTTCAGGGACCAGTGGTCAAAGATAGACTTGGGCACTCCTGAGATCCCACCTGGTGTCCAGAGGTTCTGAAGGTCTCCCTCGTCACCCGAGCAGACGAGTGACCAACCTCAGGACCCCACTCAGGTCCCCACACGCAGGGGGGCTCCAAACCAGAGCGATTGTCCCCAAAACACTCTGAGCACCAGAAGCTTCCGTGATGTGCCCTGTGTGGTCAAAGGAAGCCCATGAGCACCTCTGATCACCACGAGCTTGAGATGCGGCTCCAAATTCTCACTCTTGGTCGATTCACTCTTTCTTTAGGATTTTAAACATGAAAAAAAATATTTAAAAAAAAAAAGTCACGATTCCTTCCTGCAGATTTTGGCTGGAAAGGAGCCAGGGGTTGAACCCAGGCTCCACGAGCCAACCACCAGCCGTGCCCAGAGCCCTCCTCCCCGAGCCCAGCACCTTTGATTCCTTTCTTCACCATTTAAGGATGAGGAAAGCAGCTGCTCGGGGCCCAGCGAATTACCTGCCAGTGATTTGTTTTTGCTGCGGGTGCCTATGCCCTCACCACACAAACAAGCTCCTGGGAAAGAAAAAAAAAAAAAAGGAGGGTACAGAGAGAGGAGGGAAAAAAAAAATTAAAAAAATAAAAAGCCAACAGGTTGATCTGGATTACATCAACGGTTACACCCTCCGCCGTTTAATGAACATAGGAGAACAGGTGCTTGTAATTCATTAGCCAACCCACGAGCCGAGGAGACAGGAATTAAGCCGACCAAACTCCTCAGCGTGCCACTACTCTCCTTCCCTTTGAGGCAGCAGCAAGAAAACTTCATCTCTTTCTTCTTTTTTTTTTTTTTTTTTCCCCCTTTCCCTTCCCTTCCCCTCCCTCGAGCTGCGGAGCCACAAGCCGGGCATGACTAACCCCTGCAAAGCCTTCCCCAGTGGCTCCCTCTCCTCCTGGGAGGTGTCAGGGAAGATGAGCAGAGGCAAAGCAGCCGGCACCTCATCCCCGGACCTTCTGGGCCACCGCAGTCCCAGCGAGGTGGCCAGCAATGGCTACAGCTCGCTCAGCCTCCACGGGGACGGGGGATACCGCTGCTCCTCTTACCCTTCCTTGGCCATCGACGGGAGACTCCTGGCCCCCATACACCTCGATATTGACCCCGAATTCCAAGCTGTGCGGCAGCAGGAGAAGGAGGACATCAAGCTGCTCAACAACCAGTTCGTCACCCTCATCGAGAAGGTAAGGCAGGAGGGGGCTGCTGGAGGACCACATGGGGACAAGGATGGTGGTGGGGAAGCAGGCACTAACCAGCCTCTCAGGACACTTATCAAGGCCTTCAGTTAACCATTGCCAGGCTCGCGATATTAGCCTAATTACCCAATTAATTATTCCTGCAGTCCTATCTGTTTTGACAAGGGCTAGCATCATCTCCAGGTGAAGCTGGGCCTCATCCGCAGTCAGCAGCACGGGGCAGCCCCCGCATCCCCTCTGCTGCCCCTCTCACCCCATGGTGACATGGACCGGGGGGGACACCTGGCTCTGCCCTCGGGGACCCTTGTCCTGCTTGAGCAGCGATGGATGGCAGGGCCATGGGGACACGGCGTTGGGAAGAGCAGGCCTGGGCATCCCGAGCAGACAAACAGCCACGGGAGGTGACGCCGATTCAAGTGGCAGCTCAAATTCTTCTCCAGTTGCTAAAAAGAGCTGGAAATTCACACACACACACACACACCCAGCAATGTGTTGGGCAAGGGAGACCCCTCACCCACCGCCCTCCTCCACCGTTTCCATTGCGAGGGGTTGCGCTCTCCGCCAAGAAAGTGTCGCTTTCATCTCTCGAGAGCCATGAGAAGGCAGAAGGGTTGTGTCTTTTTTTTTTTTTTTTTTTTTAAGGAAAAACAAACAACCCACCCGGGGCAGGTTTCGG